GATGCTGCAAAGTTTGTAAGTGTGAAAAATGGTCATAAGTTGCTTTTTTCAGTGCCATTGTAACTTTGAATGGTCACTAAATGAACCGTTGTAAGCAGAGGACTACCTGTATTTTCTCATTTGAAACTGGTCACTAAATGAACCACTGTAAGCAGAGGACTACCTGTATTTTCTCATTTGAAACTGGTCACAGAAACCAGTGAGACATACATACTTACGTCTTCTCACTCAAAACACAGGTAGTCCTCAACTTATGACCATAATCGAGAGCAGAATTGCTGTTGCTAAGTTAGGTGGTTGTTAGTAAGTCATGCTTGATTTTATCTTTTCTGCTATGGTTGTTAAGTGAATCACTGTCGTTGTTAAGTGAATCAGTCATTAAGTGAATCTGTTTCCCTCACTGACATGGGGGAAACAATAAAATGGCGATCATATGATGCCAACATGTTGCTAACTTTCTAAATACCGTTACATGCCATTTGTCAAGCATCCAAATTTTGATTATGTGTTTGTGGCCAGTTATAAGCACAAGGAGCAGTTGTAAGCTACTTTTCTCTTTGTTATTGTAATATCGTATGATTGCTAAATAAATGGTTGTAAATTGAGGACTATTTCATTCCAAACAATGGCAAATTGACTTTGTCTTCAGTCCACTGAGATGAAGCTCAATTAAAACTGACTTTTGCCTGACCTCAAATATAAACACTTTGACCTTCTTCCTGTTTGTATGCCTCAAGACTTTTGTTAAGTGCCTAGATCTCATTAAGAACCATGAATCATTTGTTCTCGCGCGCCTCTTAATCATGGTTAATAGCTCTACCTCTTGACCGCTGAATTTCCTCTACGTTGTTTCTGTAATTTCCTTTGTTCGTATTGCCTTATTTATTTAAAATGTCCCTACAGCACAAGAGAAGCACAATATTGGATCACAATACTGTAAGGAAGAAGGTACGGCAAAATAATAATAATAATTTAAAAACTTCTTCCAAATGCAGAATTTAAAATAAAGGCTTATTGTCTTGTTTGCAAGAAATGTTAAGTTTCTTAACAGCCCAAGGGCTCAACTCTGCTGTTGGATGAGAAAAATTATGCATCCTTGATATGAGCCATCTCTGAAACCTTAGTTGTGTTGATGCTTATTTAGTTATTATTCCCCACCTGATAAATATTCATTGATCTGGCTATTGTGAAACATCTGCTTTTAAGCTTACAGGCGTGATGCACAGATGATGCCAGTAACACTATAAAGTATTATTGGGGAACAAAAAGCCCATTACTGATACAAGCATATTAACTCCAGAATAACACAGGACATAAACAAAATGATCAGGTTTTGATTTTGGGAAATGCATACCTAATTTTTTTTAAAAGAGTGGAAAAATGAAACTGCCAAGCTAGAAAATGAACGATGAATTTAAAAAGAGGCATTCTAGGGTTTTTTTCCACTAAAAAGGAAGAGAAGATATGATTACAAGGAATTATCTTTTATAAACAAGAAACTGTTTGGTCTGCTGATGGAAGGCACCAGGCTAAAAACCAGGAGACCGGGAGTTCTAGTCCTGTCTTAACCATGAAAGATGGCTGGGTGACTTTTGGCCAATACCAGGAGATGGTGAGTTCTAGTCCTGCTTTAGGCATAAAAGCCATCTGAATCAGTCATTTTCTCTCTTTCTATCTCTCTCATTGGACCAGCCCAACCTATCTTGCAGGGTTGTTGTGAAACTAGGAGAAGAAACGAGTAATAGGTATGTTCATTGTTTTTAGCACTGTTTTGAGCTATTGCATTAAAGCAATAAAAGAGGTATTAAAAATATATTTAAAAATCATTAATAAAAGCAGAAAATAACCCCACATTTCTTCCCAAGATTTAACTTTTATGTTTTTTTTTCTGCTTTAGATATGTAGGATATCTCTCACCTGAGAGATTTTGCCTGATAAATATTTTTCTCTCCTCTTCAAATTTATTTATTTATTTATTTATTTATTTATTTATTTATTTATTTATTTATTTATTTATTTAAATTTTTATACCGCCCTTCTCCCGAAGGACTCAGTGTGGTGCACAGCCAACACTAAACACACATATACAAAAAATTTAAAAGCAGTTTAAAAATATATTAAATAATTTGGCCCCCGTCTTATTAAAAACTAAAACAACCATTAAAATTCATGTTTAGGCCAGCCCAGCTTGTTGGAACAATAAGGTCTTGCGGGCACAGCGAAAGGCACGTAGGTCAGGGATCATCCGTATCTCTGGGGGCAATTCATTCCAGAGGGCAGGTGCCTCCGCAGAGAAGGCTCTCCCCCTGGGGATCGCCAGTCGACATTGTTTGACCGATGGCACCCTGAGGAGTCCCTCTCTGTTGGAGCATATTGGCCGGTGGGAGGCTATCGGTAGCAGAAGGCGATCTTGTAAGTACCCAAGTCCTAAGCCATGGAGCGCTTTAAAGATGGTAACCAACACCTTGAATCGCACCCGGAAGACCACCGGGAGCCAGTGCAGCTCGCGCAGGAGAGGTGTTACATGGGTGCGCCGTGTCGCTCCCCTAATCACCCGCGCGGCTGCATTCTGGACCACTTGGAGCCTCCAAGTGCTCTTCAAGGGGAGCCCCATGTAGAGAGCACTACAGTAGTCCAGACGGGAGGTGATGAGGACATGAGTGACCGTGTGCAAGGAGTCCCGGTCCAGAAAAAAAAATTTTTTTAGCCACTAAAATTCCCTGGAAATATTTGCTTTAGAGGAGTTGTTAATGTTGTTATTGGATTCTGCTTCTTGTCACATTAAGCAGCCCAGCACATTTCTGATTCAACGTTAACATTAATTAGGGATTATGACCATTGACAAATTTTGCTTTTATTCATTCGGGGCTGAAAATTGTTTAACTGTGGTCAACGTGGCTTGTCAATATCCCATTTGTGACTAAGTTTGCATTAAAAACTATTTTCAGGCAAACTCAGTAGCAAAAAAAGCAAGTCGGACCCAAATTTCTTGCTTCATTCCCCCCTCCCCTTTTCTAAAATAAACCTTTCCAAACAGGTTCAGTTTATTACTGTAATTCCGTTTTCTGTCTTGGCTACATGAAAGTGCTTGATTGCAGGGTTGAACTGCCCACACATAGAGAAAAACATGATTTTAAGGACAGAAATATTGTTTAACTGGCTCGCACCTATTTCGTCACCTGGTTCTTAGGTGGCCAAAGGCAGAAAAAAACCAGCACTTCAAATCAGTTTCAGCCACAAAAACAGGAAAAGAAAAATCATACATCACCATTTGCAGTGGCTGCAAATCTTTAAAAATATCTGAGCAATCAAAATAGAAAGTGAGAAATGTCAAGATGTCAAAAACTTCCTCTCCCTGAGGATGGGAATGGAGCTAAAGCTATGGTGGCCTCCTCTACAAGGTTGTTGTTCTATTTTTGTGGTTTTCAGCAAGAGGACAGGTAAACAGCTGCTTCTGTCATTGCTACCTTAACTAATGCTAATGTGGAATGATCAAGTTTTCATTCTCCCAGTGCCTATAATAAGATTTTTTTCTCTGAATTTTGGCACAGAGGGTTCCTTCCAAGGAAGGAAGGAAGGAAGGCAGGCAAGCAGGTAGGAAGGGAGGAAGGAAGGATCTATCTACAGATTAAGGCACCAGACAATAAACTAGAAGAATGTGAGTTCTAGTCCCATTTTAGGCATGAAAGCCCGCTGAATGACTATGGGCCAATCACTAGGAGGCAGCGAGTTCTAGTTCTGTCTTGGGCATGGAAGCCAATTGCAAACATCCCTAATACTTCTTCATCTCCTATTTTCTGCACAATCCTGCGAGGTGGGCTTAGATGAGAGAGCGGTCTGGCCCAAAGTCACCCAAGCTGATTTTCATGCCTAAAGTAAGACTAGAATTCACAGCCTCCGGGTGATTGGCCCAAAGTCACTCAGCTGGTTTTTGTGCCTAAGGCAGGACTATAACTCACCATTTCCTGGTGATTGGTCCAAAATCACCCAGGTGTCTTTTATGCCTAAAGCAGGTCTAGAACTCATGATCTCCCTGTCTCTGGCCTGATGCATTAGTCACTAGACCAAACCGACTCTTATTCCAGCTCTACAGCTGCAGAAGTCATTAACCTCAGGATAAATGTTTATTTATTTGATTTATTTATTTAAACAATTGATAAAACCACTGATCTCATAAAGCAGTGATTCTGAATGAAAATAAAAATACAATTTACAAAATAATGTAATGTACGTTTGGGTCTAAAATTTAAATTTGTTAATTAAAATCCTTTTACAATTCACGCATACCAAAAACCACCAACAGGACTGGCCCAACCTCTCTACCCAACTGTCTGCAGGAGAATCTATTAATGCCTTGGCAGGAGCCAGCTATCCGTCCATTCATCCATCCCTCTCTCTGTCTGCTTATCCATCCCTCCCTCCCAGCTTCTATCCATCCCATCCTTCTGCCAATTCATCCCTCCTTCCTTCCCTCCCTCCATCTATCCATCCATCCATCTATACATTCCTTCATTCCTGTCTGTCCATCTATCCAATTCCTCTATCCATCCCTCCATCCTTGTCTGTCCATCCTTCTGCCCACTCACCCTCCCATCCATCCATCCCTCTATCCTTGTCTGTCCATCTTTCTGCCCATCCATCCTCTATCCATTCCTCCATCCTTCCTTGTCTGTCCATCTTTCTGCCCATCCATCATCCTCTATCTATCTATCCCTCCATCCTTGTCTGTCCATCTTTCTGCCCAAACATCTATCCATCCCTCTATCCATCCCTCCATCCTTGTCTGTCATCTTTCTGCTCATCCATCCATCCATCCCTCTATTCCATCCCTCCATCCTTGTCTGTCCATCTTTCTGCCCATCCATCCATATCTCTGGGGAGGTTAACATCCTTCCACTGCTATCTGCAACCTTCATTTAATTTGGCTGCTTTCCCTCACCTCCAATGACTCCCGCCCAGTCAAGTCATTGACAAAGCTGGATGAAAAAGAGATTACTCACCGCAAGCAGAGGAACAATAAGAAGGCCACGATAAGAGCTCCAATGGAGATGCAATGCCCCAGGTAGTTGATAATCATGGCCACCTTGTAATGAAGAGCAGGCTTGGTCTGTGGAGCAGGAAAGAAAGAGAAAGATGGAACTTCCCATAAAATGAAAAGATTGGAGTTGGGTTGGTCAACAGCAATTATTCTTACTGGGGACATGAGATGGGCAGAACCAGGGGCCAAGAAGAAGAGTGAAACTCATGAGGAGGTTGGTCTAAATGTGTGAGGTGGAAGGATGGAGACCGTTGGTGGGTTGGATCAAGAAGAACCTGGAAACTAAGATCTTGATTCTGTTTGGCCTCAAGAAGCTCCTTCACATGTAGAACAAGACCAGGAGATGTACCACCAACAATTACATTTTGTCCATCAGATTTTTGTATCCAACAAGGAATAAGAGGATCCTGATCTAGATCAGGAGCTTCATCTCCTTAACCCTTGAGAATGTCATTTCTTGAATGATGGAAGCCATGAGATGAAAAGACATAGAAATGCTCAGCTTGGCCAAGAGGCAAGTGACAACGGCAAGGCTACTCAGGTGTAACCTACCGAAGGAAGCCAGAGCTGATCAGGGCCAGATATATTCAAGTGGGCCAGAACCTCCAGGTATTTAAGAAGGAATCTGGTCCATTAGAGTCCCTGTTATAACCCTGGTTTGCAAAAAAAAAGTGACTTGTCTCCAGAAATTGTGGGCACTCCAACATTGGAGATTTTTAAGAGATTGGACAACTGGTGCTTTGAAATGGTATAGAGCAGTGGTACAGAGCTGGCTGGGGGATTCTGGGAGTTGAAGGCCTCACACCTTAAAGTTGACAAGGTTGAGAAATACTGGCCTACACATTTCCCACCAGGACTGCCTGACCCTTGAGAGATATTGAGAGAGGAAAATGTTGAGAGAGGGAAAAGTATATTTCCTGCCATTTGTCAAACTGTTCTAACTGAGGAGAACCAACCTCTACACAGGCAGTGTACAATTCATGCCAGTTTCTGGATTCATGGAGTGAATTAAATTAAATTAATTTAAACCGGTTTCTGGATTCGTGGAGTGGATCAAATCATGTACAGGTGAGCCCTTGAATTGCAATCATTCATTTATCAAATGTTTGAAGTTACAGTGTGAATGAGTTTTTAATGTTTTTAAAATTTTTCAATGGTTTTTTTATAATTATTTTTAAAAATGTATTGTGAGCCGCCCTGAGTCTTCAGAGAGGGGCGGCATATAAATTAAATTAATTAAATTAATTAAATTAAACGGCACTGAAAAAAGTGACTGGCAACATGTCTATGCAGTCAACATGATCAAAATTCAGGTTATAAAAGCTGGAGCATGCCAAGATCATACGATCATCATTTTTTTTTAAAAAATTGATTTATATGCCGTCCTTCTCCGGAGACTCAGGGCGGCTTACAATGCATTAAGCAATAGCCTTCATTCTTTTGTATATTTTTACAAAGTCAGCTTATTGCCCCCACAATCTGGGTCCTCAATTTACCTACCTCAGAAGGATGGAAGGCTGAGTCAACCTTGAGCCTGGTGAGATTCGAACTTACAGTAATTACAGACAGCTGGTGTTAATCACAATGCTTTTAGTCTGCTGAGCTACCAGGCCCGTTTGTGACCTTCCCAGCTGGCTTCCATCAAGCAAAATGAATGGAGGAAGCTGAATTCCCTTAACAAATACATGATTCACTTAACAACTGCATGATACATTTAACGACTGTAGTTATTTGCTTAACATATAGCCGTGGTGGGCATAGTGGTTAGAATGCAGTCAATGAAGACTAACTCTGCTCACTGCCAGGAGTTCGATCCTGATTCAGCCTTTCACCCCATTCCTAAGAGGTCTCTAAGGGACGTGCATAAGCGCAGCAGTGTGTCTATCGTCCCTGTCCTAATGTTCCCTGTAATATGTATCCATTTCATGGATTCATAATTATGTTTATGCTTCTATCTGTTACCTATTACATGCTTGACGAAAAATAAAAAATAAAATAAATAAAAATAAATAAATAAAAATCCTTCTGAGGTCAGTAAAATGAGGAGCCAGATTGTTGGAGGCAAGATCAGAGGTGGGTTTCAGCAGGTTCTAACCAATTCTGGAGAACTGGTAGCGGAAATTTTTAGTAGTTCTGAGAACCGGTAAATACCACCTCTGACTGGCCCCGCCCCCATCTATTCTCTGCTTCCCGAGTCCCAGCTGATCGGGAGGGAATGGGGATTTTGCAGTAACCTTCCCCTGCCACGCCCACCAAGCCGTGCCACACCCACCAAGCCACGCCCACAGAACTGGTAGTAAAAAAAATTGAATCCCACCACTGGGCAAAATGCTGACTCTGTAAACCGCTTAGAGAGGGCTGTAAGGCACTAGGAAACAGTATATATGTGCTGAGTGCTATCTATCTATCTATCTATCTATCTATCTATCTATCTATCTATCTATCTATCTATTATCTATCTATCTATCATCTATCTATCATCTATCTATCTATTATCTATCTATCTATTATCTATCTATCTATCTATCTATCATCTATCTATTATCTATCTATCTATCTATTATCTATCTATCTATCATCTATCTATCTATTATCTATCTATCTATTATCTATCTATCTATCTATCATCTATCTATCTATCTATTATCTATCTATCTATCTATCTATCTATCTATCTATCTATTATCTATCTATCTATCATCTATCTATCATCTATCTATCTATCTATTATCTATCTATTATCTATCTATCTATCTATCATCTATCTATCTATTATCTATCTATCTATCTATCATCTATCTATTATCTATCTATCTATCTATCTATCTATCTATCTATTATCTATCGCTCTATCATCTATCTATCTATCTATCTATCTATCTATCTATCTATCTATCATCCATCTATCTATCTATCTATCTATCTATCTATCTATCTATCTATCTATCATCTATCTATTATCTATCTATCTATCTATCTATCTATCTATCTATCTATCTATCTGAATCTAAATAATGATAGCGCTAATTGACAACGCTGTGTGGATTTCAACTCCCAGAATTCCCCAGCCAGCATTAACTGGAACTCCGTAATATTCCTACTTCTTTTGAGTGCCTGTTAATTCCTCAGACCCCTGGACGGTTTCTGAAGTTCCCGAGGCTATGAATCATTTAGGAGTGCAAATGCAACCTACTCAGCAAGATTCTATCCTGGGGCAACGCAGATATCTATGTTGCATTAAAATAAGTATAAGATAAAATAAGATAACAGCGGTTATCCACAGAGATGTAATGTAATATTTATGGAACAAGTCAATATAGGACTGCAGATCAAGATGCAATGACAGGCGAGAAAGATTTGGAAATAGAGACACCGCCAGAGGAACAGTGTGATAAAAGACGGCATTATCCACAACTGCACAATGGGTGGGGAAGAGGCTCAGAAAAGACCTTCCCTAATTTCTCAAAGAGGCTACGGGGTGATGATGGAATTGTACTTCCAGACTTGCAAGACTCTGCTAATGTTGCTTTACAATAAAGTGGAACTAGTTCATCTGTCTGGTTTACCTTGTAGGGCTGACATTAATCTTGCAAGACAGAAAGTATAATTCTCTCCTCCCCTCCACATCTCCCACCGAAGAAACTAGGGAGGGTGTCTTCCAAACATCCCTCTCACTGCTGAAACGTGGATTATGCTTTCTCCTATATCTGGCCATTCCCTCACCTGTGTCTCTTTGCCCAGATTCCCAAGGTTTTACATATATACCATGAAACAAAGTAACAGAACAGAATAACAGAGTTGGATGGGGCCTTGGAGGTCTTCTAGTCCAACCCTCTGCTCAAGCAGGAAACCCTGTACCATTTCAGACAAATGGCTGTCTAATCTTTTCTTAAAAACCTCCATTGATAGAGCATCCATAACTGCTGGAGGCAAGTTGTTCCACTGGTTAATTGTTCTCAATGTCAGGAAATTTCTCCTTCGTTCTAGGTTGCTTCTCTCCTTGATTAGTTTCCACCCCTGTTTTCAGATGCTTTGGAGAATAGCTTGACTGCCTCTTCTTTGTGGCAGCCCCTGAGATATTGGAAAACTGCTATCATGTCTCCCCTAGTCCTTCTTTTCATACCCAGTTCCTGCAACCGGTCTTCATGGATTTTAACCCAGTAACAGTGATCCTGAGTAATACTCTGATGATCTGTCTGGAAGTGATGGAGAGAAAGCAGGACTTTCGATGTCCAACAAGGAGGATTCCTATTGGCTGCTATCCAGCCTTTCTCCTCCATGACAATTCCAAAGTTTTTCTTCTGGGCATTCCTAGTTTTCCTTCTAGAATGTAAAAAAAAAAAAAAAAAGGATATCTGTGCTGTGACCCCATTGGGGTTGAGAGCAGGGGTGGGTTCTACTTAACTTTACTACCGGTTCGCAAGGGGACCGCACGCACGCTGAGCTTCTGCACATGCGCAGATCGCCTATGACAACATCCAGGGTGGTAGGCGGAGTCTCCCACCGGTTTTACTACCGGTTCTTACGAACCGGCCTGAACCGGGGCAACCCACCACTGCAGGGGTGGGTTCTACTTATCTTTAATACTGGTTCACAACGGGATCGCGCACACGTATGCATGCGCCAAGGTTCTGCACATGCACAGATCGCCTATGATGACATCTGGGGCGGTAGGCGGAGCCCACCACCGGTTTTACTACTGGTTCTTTTGAACCGATCCGAACCGGGGGCAACTCACCACTGGTTGGGAGCCATTATAGATGGGGAGAAGGCAGGCCAAGTCACCCATATTCTTAATTCCATTACACCCCACTTCTTTATCTCCGATCACGGCCTAGAGAAGCCTGCTTTCATGGGGCTGCTCTAGACACTTATCTCTATATCCAGGATCTCTCTTTCTTCCACCTTCAGGTAACAGTAATAGAGTTGGAAGGGACCTTGGAGGTCATCTAGTCCAAACCCCTGCTCACGCAGGAGACCTAAACTAGGAATACGTTTCTGACCGACAAGCTCAGTGTCTTAGCCACTGAGCCACCTAGCCAGGCTCCGACATTACTACCTGGAAGGGA